TATGTATTCCATTTTAGAATGGAATATATACATTATTCTGTCATATTCTGCACTTCATTCCCCATCTCCTCCATTTCCTTCCTCTGACCTCCTGCTGCCCCTCCACATACACTTTAGTGACTAGAGAGGAAAACAAAATATTTCTATTCAACACCATACTTGGAAGCAAAACCCAGGTAACTCAGCCAGTTGGCCTTGGCAGGCTATAATGTCTGATTACTTAGCAGAAATACTGGGGAAGCAGGCGATACAGCAGAAAATACATTAGATTAGGAGTCAGGAGATCTGGGTTCTACTTTCAGGTTTACAAAGGCATGCCAAATTCTCCCCTTGTTCTGCAATAATGTAGGCCGTTGGTTAAGAATTTTTGTTACACCAAAATTTTGGTGGTAAAGGCAATTTGTTGTAAAGGGAGGTAGCCTATATTTAAATAGTTAAAAGGTTTGCTTCTCACTCTCGATAATGCTCCAAAGAGGGGCAAATTGATTAAGAGGGAATGCTAGTGAGAGAGGAACCCAAGCATTATTATTTTAAACACAAGAGAATAAAAAATAAGAATATAAAAATTTACAATGTTTAAATTATTGTACTAAGGTCTTGAATTATTGTAACTAGAATAGCAGGTGACAGAGAGAGGCTACAATAAATAGGAGGGCTTTGAAGAAGGATTTAACAACAACAAAAAACCTTGTACTTGAAGACTTTCACAACAATTACAAAAAAAAATTGAAAATGAATATTGAAAAATTAGGAAGAACAAGCTTGGCCCCGAAGAAGAGAAATTAGAAGAACCCTTCCCCCACTCCCATTCCATTTTAAGGGAAATGGACAGGCCTGCTATGCAGAGTACTGAATATATAAGAATTTTTTGATGTATTGATTGGTTTGCTGAATTTTTTTCCCTTCTTTATCTTTCTTTTTAAAAACATTCTTGGATATAAGAGATGACACTCTGGGAGGGGGAAGAGATACAAGGAGAATTTCAGTGATGTTAAAAGACAAAACATGTCAATAAAATGTATTTAAAGTAAAAAAAAGGGAGAGGGAAAGAAATGGCCTTTTAGTTATTCTCAAGGGAAAGTGAAGTCACTGAAAGCTGATGTGGAGAAAACTGGAGGCGTCCAATGAGCTATCATTTACATGCCCTGTGTTTTGGCCTCACCAGCCACCAGGACAGTAGGAAAAACTGCTGAGCTAGTGGTTATATCCAAACCAAACCTCTCCCTATAATTACAGCTAACTGGGGGAAAAAACGGCACAATCAGGATAGAAATGTATCGTGGGTGGGTGGGGGAAGGGGGAAGGAAGCAAAGAATGCTGACTTGATATTTTTTTCTAAAGAGATATAAAGGCTGGATCAGCCATGCAGCAAGATGCAGGTAAGACCAGAGGCGCATGCTTAAAAGGTGGCACTAACTCACTGTGACATCTTCTATATGTCACTAAACTTTCCTGAGCTTATTTCTTCATCTGTAAAATGAAGAGGGTTAGACCAGGTGATCTCTGAGTCAGTCAGTAAACATTTATTAAGCACCTACTATGTGCCAGACACTGTACTAAGAGTTGGTCCCTTCTAGTTCTAATGTTCTGTGAGTATATGATTAGTTTTTAGTTATATCTTATAACAGAGTGGCTGTGAGGATGAAATGAGGTAATATATGTAAAGCACTTTTTGCAAACAAATTACTATATAAATGCTAGCTATTATAATAGCACCTACCTCTCAGGGTTGTTGTTAGAATCAAATGAGGTCATCATAGTAAAGTGCCTGGCACACAGTAGGTGCTATGTAAATGTTAGTTGTTATTATTATTATTATTATTAATCTTCCTCACCCCTGAACTTGAATCAAAAGAACAACCTGGCTAAAAAGTTAATAAATCAGCACTGTTCTTTCTTCTTGGCTAACAGTCCTAACAACTGACGACTGGAAACTTTCTGAAGAGCTAAAAAGGCATTGCTTCCTAAAGGATAACTTTGTTGTTCAATCATTTTTTAGTTGTTAACTCTTTGTGACCCCATTTGGGGTTTTCTTGGCAAAGATACGGGAGTGTTTTGCCATTTCCTTCTCCAGTTCATTTAACAGTTGAGGAAACTGAGGCAAACAGGGTTAAGTGACTTGTCGAGGGTCACACAGTTAGTGTCTGAGGCAAGATTTGAACTCATGAAGATGAGTCTTCCTGACTCCAGGCCCTGAACTCTATCCACTATACCACCTAGCTGCCCTCTATTCTACTTCTCATTAAATATATCCTGAGGGGGCAGCTAGGTGGTACAGTGGATACAGCACCGGCCCTGAAGTCAGGAGGACCTGAGTTCAAATCCAGCCTTAGACCAAACACTTGACACTTACTAGCTGTGTGACCCTGGGCAAGTCACTTAACCTCAACTGCCTTAAAAAAATATATATATATCCTGAGAAACAATTCAATATGCCAGCTACAAAGAACTGTTTTTCCTGAACTGGAGGATAACTATTTATTACTTATCTTTTCCCATATTTCTCAAGGGAATGAGATTTTATATGAACAGATTACAAAGGCTACAAATAGCTAACACAGTTAAAACACACACAAAAGAATATTCATTACAATATGGGTAAAACTACTAGACCGTAGTCATTCTTAAAGGATTCATGGAAAAATTAAAAAAAAAATCTAACATTTGAATAAGCCAAGGAAAATACGTGTGCTTCATTTCAGATCTGCAAATCAAATGTAAACAGTTGTCTTTGAGCCTATCAGATAGTTAAAGAAACTCTAGATTTTTAAAAAATACATCAGTGAATAGCACAGAAATGAATAATATCTTCTTTTCCTCTCTCCTATAAACACTGAGCCAAATACCAAACCAAAACAGCACTTGAATCCAGAAAATGAATAGCTTTTCTTGTAACAGGATCTTTCAAAATCTAATGATATTGGCTTAATAAAAACCAGTAGGTAACTAAATGATTTGCACTAGTCTTTCAGGTAAAAGCAGCTTACTCAGTACCACTATGGTTTCTGGTGCTAAAAACACAGGGTCTGCCTCTCCACATAAGGTGGGCGGGTGGGTTGGTGGGTGTGGATGGTGTCAATTGGGTGGGAGCCAGAGTCTGTGAGGTGATGCACAGGGAAGTAGGTGCTAAGTAAGGTTAAAGACAATAAATAGAAAATTTGGCTTAAGTCAGTTACCATATCATCTCTCAAAAGGAACAGCCACCATGTTTGTTCAGGAAAGTGAACTGGACTATCTGAGGAAGGCCCTAAAGAGCTATCCTTTTAAATATCTGAGGCAACAAATGATATAAGACTGTAATGCAAGAAGGAAATGTAAAGTACTTGTGGAAAAATTCATTAAGCAGTGTGGCTGCCATTCATTTGACTTGTTATCTCCAGGCCTGAGCGAGACCCAGCTCTTATAGGCCCTGTGCTAACTGTTAAAATTTTGGGGTGAGCATTTACACCTCAGAAGTCAGAAAATGCTATAAATCAGGGCTTGATTTATTGTTTTGTTGATTCTCTAGACTTAAGAAATAGATGAAGAAAATGTTAACGATGCAGGTTAAACTAAAAAGTATGTCCGGCATAATCCCACCCCCCAAGAATCAGTTTGTTAAACATTTGCTAGGAAGGCCCTGGATGTCTCTTAGCACTTATAATGTTTTTATATAGCCTCTACATAAGTTTTAAGTCTGCAAAGCACTTTAGAGACATCTCATTTGAGTCTTACGATAAACCTGTGAGGTAAGATCTCACAGATGAAGAAATTCAGGCTCATGAGCAATGGATATGGAATCCAATTCTTCCTTTAAATTCCAGCTTCAAAATTTATCCCCTGTGCGATGTTGGGCAAGTTACTGAAGGTTTCTGGGCTTCAGTTTCTGTCCCTGTAAAATGAGGGAGCACCATAGTGTAGTAAAAACAGCCCTGATTCTGGAGTCACTCAACTTGAATTCTAATTCTGGTTCCCAAGCAACCATGGATATCTTAAGTTGACCTGGATGGGCCTTGGTTACCATTTCTGTAAAATAAGAGGACCTGATTAGAATGTCTCTAAGATCCTTTTCAGTTCTAAATTATAATGGCAAGACTTCCTCATGATTATACATCTGATAAAAGTCCTTTTGTTGTTGTTGCCGTTCAGTCATTTCAGTCGTGCCCGACTTTGTGATGCCATTTGGGATTTTCTTGGCAAAGATACTGGAGTGGTTTGCCACTTCCTTCTCCAGTTCATTTTACAGATGAGGAAACTGAGGCAAATGAAGTTAAGTGACTTGCCCAGGATGACACAGCTAGTGTCTGAGGCCGGATTTGAACTCATAAAGATGAGTCTTCCTGACTCCAGGCCTGGCACTCTACCCACTGTGCCACCTAGCATGATTCAAACCCAGGTGTCTCCTGGATCCTTTCTAGGTACCATGTTGTATTTAGGTTCAGGGTCACTTCAGTCTGTGCACAATACAGTTATCCCTTCCACATTGTGACTTTCCCCATTGCAGTTTCAATATATTGCAGGTCAGCATAAGAAATTAAATGGGCATTTTTGGGGAGTTTTGCAGATGCTGCTGTCAACATGAAAAGACCAGCAGATGACACAGAAAAAGTTTAGAAACTCAGGAATGCATAAAATATATGAACAGTATTGCATGATATCAACCCAAATTTTACAATAAAGTATCTGTAAATACCCCATAAAAGAAAAAGAAAAAATTCAGACTTCTCTGGTATGAGGGGAGGGCCAAAATATTTTGCACAGCCATGCCCTCAACCCCTGTGACATAGAAGGGATAACTGTAATTTAATATAATTTTAATTTTGCACATTTTGTTGCTATAAAAACTATGTTTCCGGTTGGTACACACAGCCATTGTTGTCCTGGTTTCTCTGTTGACTGATACCAGAACAAAACTTCATACAAAACCAAGCAACAATTGTATATACTTCAGCCTGATGAGCTGTGAGTCAAGAAAACCTTCAAAGTCTTTTGAAATTAGCACCTAAAGGACACTCACTTACCTGACTGGTCCTTAAACTGATGGTGTTGATCAGAGTCATCCAGGGATACAGGAAGCCTCTGTCCAGACAATACTGCTAGTCTCTAAGGGGACAGCAGTACTGTGCCACTTTGCTTGCTGTGTATGCCATAATTAAGAGTACCTGTGAAATGAAACAGCCTGCGTTTTTACAGAACTACAGTCTTGGAGCTGGAAGGGACCGTGGGTCCAGGCTGTAGCTGAACAAGAATCCCCATCACCCCAAACCTGACAAGTGGCCATCCTAGCCTATGCTGGAAGATCTCCAAGGAAAAGGGATATAGTTCATTCTACTTTTGGGTAGCTCTCATTTTGGGGGAAGTGTTTTTTAGATTAAGACTAAACCTGCCTCTTTTCCACTTCTATCTACTTTTGTTGGTCCTCTCCAGTCTCTTTCACAGAGTCAATCCCACGGAGTCTTTTTTTTCTTCTGCAGACTAATCACCCCCAGTTTCTTCAATAGATCCCCATAAACCATGAACTCAATGCCCTTTGATGGGCATTCTCTATCTTATCAATGTCCTCCTTGAGGGCAGGGCCTGTCTTTTGCCTTTCTTTGTATCTCCAGTGCTTAACACCTGTGACTAGCACAGAGTAGGCACCAAATAAATGCTTATTAACTGACTAGAATTGAATATAATATTCCAGATATGGTCTGTCTAGTGCAGAGTACAGCAGAACTATGACCCACTGATTTCTGAAAGCTATACCTCTCTCAATGGGCAGGTAGGTTGCATAGTGGATAGAACATTGGCCTTCCAATCAGGAAAACTCATCTTCACGAGTTCAAATCCAGTCTCAGATACTTACTAGCTGTGTGACCCTGGGCAAGTCACTTAACTTTGTTTGCCCCAGTTTCCTCAACTGTAAAATGAGCCAGAGAAGGAAATGGCAAACTACTCCAGTATCTTTGCCAAGAAAACTCAAAAATGGAGTAATGAAGAGTCAGACACGACCAAAATGATTGAACAACAACATACCTCTCAATGCAGTCCAAGATCATGCTAGCATTAGTTGTGGCACAGACAATATTATAACAAGGGCAGAGCTTAGAACATACAGCAAGAATGTGAGAGCTCAAAGGACCCTTAGAACATGGAATATTATGGCATGAAGAGAACTCTATTATCCAATGCAAACTGCACCCTCCCCCGTTTAATTTTTTAAAAGTACAAATCTTTTTTTTTTTTTAGATTATATATCTTCTTACTATTTCCGGTCTCTCTTAAAAAACATCTCTATTGTTTTTATAGCACCTTCACTTCTTTTTTATTAATTTATTTTGATTTATCAATAATCACTTCCATATGCTTTTGAGTTTAAAATTTTTCTCCCCCTTCCTCCCCACCCCCCCAAGATGGTGCATAATCTGATATAGGCTATACATTTACATTCATATTAAACATATTTTCACATTAGTGATGTTGTAAGTAGAAATTAAAACCAATAGGAGGAACCATCAGAAAAAGGAAACAAAACTCAACAGAAGAGAAAAAAAAAGCAATTCAGCTTCCATAGTTCTTTCTTTGAGTGTAGATAGCATTTTCCATCACAAGGCCTCTGGAGATGTCTTAGATCCTTGTATTGCCAGGAAGGGTTAAGTTTATCAATATTAGTCATCATGCAACGTAGCACCTTCACTTCTGAACATATCTTTCCCCCTATGCAGTGAACCTTTTTTTGTAACTACTTAAAAAACAACTCAGCATCTTTGGCCCATTCTTGCAGTCTTTTTTTGTTTTGTTTGTTTGTTTGTGTTGGTGACCACCTGATACAATAGTATAGCCACTGTGACTGCTTTAATAATTCCCATGGAATGAGAAGGCACAAGGAAACAGAAATTAAATCAGGACGTATTTTGAAATGTGTGTTCTCTTAAAGGAGGCTACATGCATAAGTGGGCTGACCACACAGTTATCTAAAATGTTGGTAGGAGATAAATTAAATGCCCATGAACCCTGACAAAGGCAGAATGTGTCTTAACATTGATGCTGATTTTTAAATATTATGTTCTCTGCCATTGGGCAATGCTGTGGAAACATGGTAAAGAGAGCATTAGTGGGTCAAGTCCTGGGAGAGGATGCCACTAGTTCTAAAAAGTTGGTAAAACCAATTCAATTGGATGCCATTTAAATGAGATAACCTTACTAATATAGAGTGAAAACACTGGGATATATGAACATATATTAGGTTAGGGCAAAGATGTGAAGGGGGATGATCACCTTTACATAGGTTAAAAACATAAGCAGAAAATGGAAGATATGTTAGAGATGAGACTAGCTCTGAAGTTTTGATCATTTTTAAACTGAAGATTAGACAAAACTAGTTACATTGGATAACTAATTACATCAGGGTCTAGATAAGAGATTTTCATGTTAACCAGACAACAACCGACTCAATAATAACAGGTACATGTTCTATAAGTAGCTAAAGGATGTAATTCATCTGAGCCAGGTGACTTAAATTTTTCAAGGGTTAAAAAGTGCTCACTTATTATTTCCTTACTTATTTTAGAGGCCAACTCCCTAGCAGCCATCTTTGTTCTGTCCTTTTCCAAAGGTCATTCTCTTTTGTAGAGGAAACAGAGCAAACTAGGAAATTAAATAGCTTTCCCTTCCCTCTGTTAGTGTCCACAAGGAGCAACGATCCTCTCCCTAATTTGCTCTTCCTCTTTCTTTCACCATAGTTAATAAAACCATTCCTGTCCTCGCTAGCTTCAATGCACTCTGAACTTTAGCCCTCTACTACTATTCTTAACAAGACTATACCACACTTTTACATCCATCATTTTTCCCTGTCACCTTCTGAACATAGCCCCCCCCCCCCCCCTTAGCTTACTTTCCCTGTGGAATTTCTTTCCTAAGGATCTGGCTCAGCCTTTGTCTGAATCTCACGATATCAGCTCTTTAAAATTCAAGAGTGCATGTCTGCATATGCCCAGTTTTCCTTTCCTTTAGCATAAACTCCAGGAGGGAGTAACTATTTCCTGGAAAAGTTCCCATCATTTCTACCCTAACATACAATGACTCCCTATTGGTGACAATCTGGAGGGGCTTTAGAGATCAGACGTTTTAAAAATACATTCGCAAGTATAAATTCATTTGCTATAGGCACTACCACTGAAAGGGATGAGTTAAGTATGAGAAGCATTATAGGACTTAACATGTCCACTAACATTGGTTTTATAATTTCAGAAGTAAATAGGCAGCTAGGTGAGTCAGTGGATAGAACAGGCGTGGGGAATCTGTGGCCTTAAGGTGACATGTGGCCTTCGAGGTCCTTAAGTGCAGCCTTTTAAGTGAATACAAAATATAAAAAGGATTTGTTCTCTAAAATTTGGATTCAGTCAAAAGGACACACTTAGGGACCTAGAAGGCCACATGTAGCCTTAAGGCTGCAGGTTCCTTACTCCTGGAATAGAGCTTTGGACTCAGAGTCAGGAAAATCTCAGTTCAAATACAGTCACAAACACTTACCTCTGTTTGCCTCAATTTCCCTATCTGTAAATGGGGATAATGATAGTACCTACTCCCCAGAGCCATTGTGAGATTTAAATGCCATGTTTGTAAAGAGCTTTGCAAACATTAAAGTGCTATATAAATGTTAGCTATTATTATTGTTGTTTAAAGGGATTCAAAGTTTTTTTTAATATAGAAAAGCATACAATTCTCAAATGTATGAAAATTACAATCTACCTGAAAATACTTCACTCATTTTAATTTTTAGTTTATGAAAACAAAATTTTCTGTAGTACCTCTGAGTCAAACTTTGAAAATGTAGGATTGTCTTTTTTTTTAACAGCTTATTAATACAGTATTTATTTGTCTTCCCTCTGTCAAATCCTGACCCATGGCTTTCACCAGGGCTGCCTGGTAAGATGGAGGGGAAGGTATTCACAGGCTGGAAGAGACATGGAAGGACCAGGATGACAAGGAGGAGGAACGTTCAGAAACATTGGGAGATAGAAATGGCTCCATCACTTGGCGAAGAGGATGAGGAAGGCCACCATCAGGCAAAAGAGGCTCAGACAGGGCAAAGCCCAGGATGGGAAAAGAGCTGCTGCTTTAGGGAGAGGTTCCTGGCAAAACCAATGATGAGACTTCCAAACACAGTCCCAATCCCAGATCCGGAGCCGGCCACCCCCACAATGGCAGCGCCAGCCCCCCAAAATTTGGCTGTTGTGTCAATGTCCCTTGAGATGGCGCTAGTTTGGAATCCACATCTGAGGACAAGTGAGGTCAAGGGACCCGATGCTGCCAAAATGCTGAGGTTCTCATCTGTTCGAACCTCTGGCCGTTTTAGCATCACTGTAGATAACGGTCCACTCAGCACCTGAGAGCTGCTCCTCACAAGGGCAGGGGTAGAGATAATCTTGATGCAGGAGTACATTCTCAGGGGGTGAGGGGCAAAGCTGAAGAGGTGCCAGCAGAGCAGAAGAGACAGAGAGGGAGAGGGGCAGGGTTGTCTTTTAAAAGGAAATCTATCTTCCATGATAAAGATAAAACAAAACGTTCCTGGTCAAGACTTTACAAAAACATCCTGGTTGCTTTTATTGCCTGCATAAATAGAGGGGTACCATACTTTGTAAGTAGATTTGTTTTTAAAGCTTACATACAATTTTATCAAACCTTGTTCAAAATTTACTGTACTAGGGCACCTTACAATTATAAAATTTTTATTATTTTAGGGGTAGAAGCAGCCTTTAAGGTAATCCATTACAACCCATTTCTACAACATCCCAGGCAAGTGGTCATTCAGTCTTTGCTTCTCCAATGAACTCAACTCTCACTGGCAAGCTAATTCCATTTTCAAAAAGAAAGTTCTTCTTTCTATTGGTCCAAAATGTACCTGGAAAGCTGTGTGGATGGTGGACTGGAGAGGGGGAGAGACATTAGGCAGGGAGACCAAGTAGAAAGCCATTAGCAACAATACAAGTAAGATGTGATGAGGATTTCAATCAGGCTGGTTATGGTGTGAATGGAAAGAAAGAAGGGGAAGGATGCCAGAGATATGGAGGCAGAGAGGTTGCGATTTGGTGACTGACTGGATGTGTGGAGTGAGTGAAAGTAAAGAGTCAAGGATGACTCCAAGGTTGTGCCTGGAAGGATGGTGTTGCCTTTGACA